TCTAACTTATTTCTAATTTAATGTTAGCTTCTGCATGTATTTTATGTTTTGTTCATTTAACTTAAGCTCCAAAATTTCCAGCTGGTTGTTTTGCATCTGATTGCCTTTTTTTTTTTACCTGCTAAGACTCATTATCTATAGACTCATTGAAGATGTATATTTTCTAACGTCCTGAACATATTTGTAATAACTGTTTCAAAGTTATGGTGTACTAAAGCCAACATCTGGATCATCTCGGAGTCATTAGTATTTTTTTCTTGACTTTGACCACATTTTTTTTTTATGATTGAACATGTTCTCTATAGTTCATATTTCTCTATATCTTGGCATTAACCATAATTTCTAATTTTCATACTGAACATGATATATTATGTGTGATAAAGGTTACAGATTCTCTCTTTTTCCTTTGACAACTCAAGATTTGGCTGGTTATCTTGTATTTATGCAGGTTGTTGTAAAGGCATGTTTGTGAAAATCCCTAGCTGTTTCCCAAACCCTTTTATCTTGGGAGGGGATCAGCATCCAAGTTCTGTTTCTCCTGCAGGTCTCATTAAGACTTGGACTTATGCTTTGATAGAGGAAGATACAGGTTTCCAGAACTATTTGGCCTACTGCCCCCTTTTCAGAAAAAAATTACTCGGCACCCTATATAGCCTACACTACAGGATAAAGTATAGGTATCTGCTTTTTCCGCTCCTGTGATAGTTCCACAAGGAATGCAAGTGGCCTAGTGGCTATGCATTGGGTTGGTCACCAGTTTGAAGCCACCAGCCACTCTTCAGGAGAGAGACTGTCTATGCCCACGAAGAATTACAATCTTAGCAAACCATCAGTACAGTTCGACTCTGTCCTACAGGGTCTTATGAGTCGATGGTAGTGTGTGAGTGAATTGTTCCAGGACCCACGTTGGGAATCACTGATAGAGAATGTGTAGAGCAGGCTTGCTTTGGGCCATGGTGCTGCTTTTCTGCTATCCCATGTGCCTGTGCTTGAGGTGTCAATGAGGCATCCCACGATGGTTGAGACCGAAGGTCAAAGTCATCCAGGCTTTTCATGATCTCCAGTTAGTTTAGTCTGCTCTCCCCCTAGAAGCAGCTGCTCTTTTGTGTCTCTGAGAAGCCCAGAACCCAAGGGGAGCGGATGCAGACTTTTGGTTCTTACCTGTACACACAACTCCTCTCTTGAACATTCCCCTGCAAACTCCAGCTGCTTGGGCAACCTTTAACTGTGGCCTGTGCTTCCTCTGCTCACCAGGGTTTCCATCTCCTGCTTGGGCTTTATTTCTCTGCTGCGGTCAGGGTTTCCTCCCCAGGGACAGAGTCACAGGTCTCAGCTGCTATCGCCAGTCCCAGTCTGGCCCTGCCTGTTACCCAACGTTTCATATATTTGGTGAAGTTTTATTAGCACCCCGCTCACCACCAACTGAGCCAACCATTTGGAGTTTTATAGTTGATGTGGACAGGGGCCTAATCCACCTACTTCCTGCTGGAAATAGAAGGCTCCAAAATTTAGATGTAAAAATATTATAAAATATTAAAGAATTGAAGCCTACTTTGGTAAGGGAACCCTGGTGGTGTGTAGGGGTTACTTATTGGGCTGCGGACAGCAAGGTTGACAGCTCAAATCCACCACTCACTCTCAGGGAGAAAAGATGAGGCTTAATACTCCTCTAAAGAATGATAGTCCCAGAAATCCAGAGGGGCAGTTCTCCCCTGTCCTATAGAGTCACTGTGAGTCGTCATCAACTCCGTGGCAGTGGGTTTGCCTTGTTTGAGATTAGGAAAGAGAGTGAGGCGAATGGGGTGAGACAGCGTGGCGGCCTCAAGGTGTTGATGGGCAATGAAAGCCTGTAAGGGAGGAGCTGTGGGGGCCGAGAACGGGAGGTTCTACAGTCCACACATCTCCTGAGTTTGCAAGACATTATGTAATAGCCTTTTATTAAATATGTAAGAGAGCCAGGTACGATGGCGAGTGCCAGTGAATAATGATTAATAAGTTCTGTATCCCGAGGCCTCGTATGGGAAAATATTCCCACCTAAAAACAATTATGATGAAATCTACTTGGAGTGCCCATGCAGTTGGCATCCAGTTGTACTGAGCACAGAGAGATTAATTCTGCCCAGTTGGGCAAAGGTTTCACGGGGGTGTGATCCTTGGGACATTCAGATGGCGGGTAAGAGTGTCTTTGTTAGACGGTGAGAGTGGGGGAAGGGGAAGACCATGTGAACAATGTGAAGATGATTGAACACACTGGGACCCCCTGCAGTTTAGCTTTGTGCCAACAAGAGAGTAGAAGTGTGAAGTGCCGATCAACGTTTCGGTAGGAATGATCACACCTTCCCCAGTGGTTCTGGACAAATACACACGGACGAGGTCCAGGGAACGTACTCACTGCTACCTCTCCAGAACCTTTAAACCAGGTTCTTCCATGTGAGATCGTGATGCAATGAGAGCTCCTGTACACTAAATGCTAGAGGCAAGAGAGTGGGCACGACAGTTGTATATCAATCACCTGGAGGACTGGCGTGGGTGTGCAGATGAGCACACAGCTCGCTCTAAGTGATTGATGCTGGTTACGGCTGTTGGGTTGTGGGTGACTGCCTTCAAGTCTGTCAGCGCAGGGGGAGGAGGTCGTTGCCTGCATTTATTGTCTGTTTCCTCCATCAACATATGGACTAGGAGTATAACTGTTACAGCTCTTGCTCTTTTTCGCTATACCCCCTCGCTCTTTCTCTCTGCCCTCCTTTTTAGTCCCACTGTCTTCACTTGGATTGGTGGATGAAACCCTGTGGAAAGATCTTGGCTACCTATAAATAAAGCATAGGGTGTTCCTCTTTAGAGTTAGATATCGCTGGAAGCATCTCATGTGAAATTAAGTATCACTGGAGTAAAAGGAATAAATCCGTGATCATAGAGGGAATCAAAAGTGTGATGAATGCCCTTACTCCAAGAGCTATTTGAGTGCAGCACACTTGTAACTTATAGTATTTCCTGTGCAATTCTGTGCTCTGAATACCAGAAATTCTTCCTTTTTTCCTGACTGTAATTATACAGTAGCAATTGGGGCTACCTAAACACCGCCCCCCCTCATTTTTAACTCAAAATACAGTATAAAATGTGTTAATTCTCCCCCCAAATTTGGAATCTACTCATTGACTCTATTATTCTATATTGGCTAAATATTGCATAAGTAATTTAATACCTCTTAATTATTCAAGTACATACACAAGTACTTGACATGTGTGTCACTGGATATAATTAAGATACTAAACATCTATATAAAATTTCCTTTGCAAAAATATCTGTCTTGAAGGGCATAGGGGCTACTGCATGATTTAGTAAGTAATGAGGCTAAAGAAATGAATAGGTAGGATGAAATGGTTCAAGTAGAATGGAACAGAAAGAAAAGAAACCTTTCTTGGAAGAAGTACAGCCCGAGTGCTCCTCAGAAGCATGGCAGGGAAGACGTCGTCTCATGCCATTGGACGTGTTGTCAGGAGAGACCAGTCCCTGGAGAAGGAGCGGGGCCGTGAAATAGAGGAAGGCCCTCAGCAGGACGAATAAACACAGTGGCTGCAATAACGGGCTCAAACGTAAGAACAGTGGCGAAGATGGCGCAGGCCTGGCCCTTGCTGCATTCTGTTGAACATAAGGATGCTGTGAGTCTGAACGGACTCAACAAACCCACACAGCGACAATCGATAGACTAGACAATACTTCTTTAGGACATAATTTGACCCATTAGCATACATGCCTTTCCCAACTTACTCGTGCTTTATTTTCTCCTTTTCCTGTACCAACCTCTTCTATTTTGAAGCCTTAATGATTCAGTGTTATTGTGTATCAAGTGCATGATATTGTTTCCAGTTTGTACATCTGTAATAAAAGGTAGCTACCATTTCCGTTTTAGAGACAAGGAAACGTAGGCTCACGAGGGAAACTTCAATCTGCGTGTTTGCATAGCTTGAGAGTGTTTGAGTTGAACTTTGGTTCAGGATGACTCTGATGCTTCAGTCTCTTCCATATTCCATCCATGGCTGAGGCTCATAGGGTGTCATTTCTCATAAATGGCAAGCGTTGGTGATATCCATTTCTAAAGGAAGGTTGTGCAGAGAAATGCAGAACTGAATCAATTCTAGACCCTGCTCATAACTAGGGTCATATCATATCAAGTACTTTATACATCTTATCATATTAGGTTGTTAAGCCTAATTTGTAAGGGTTAGAATATTGTGTATGGATTTCAGATCTGATTATATAACAATTTCCACTATGGAGTTTAACTTTAATTCTTTTTTTTTAAAAAACATTTTATTAGGGGCTCATACAACTGTTATCGCAATCCGTACACACATCAATTGTGTAAAGCGCATTTGTACATCATTCTCAAAACATTTTCTCTCCACTTAAACCCCGGCATTAGGTCCTCATTTTTCCCCTCCTTCCCTGCTCCCCCCTCCCTCATGAGCCCTTGATAGTTTATAAATTGTTATTTTGTCATATCTTGCCCTGTCCGACGTCTCCCTTCACCCACTTTTCAGTTGTCTGTCCCCCAGGGAGGAGGTCACATATAGTTCCTTGTAATCGGTTCCCTCTTTCCTACCCACTCTCCCTCTACCCTCCCTGTTTCACCACTCACACCACTGGTCCTGTAGGGCTCAGCTGCCCTGGATTCCCTGTGTTTTCAATTCCTATCTGTACCAGTGTACATCCTCTGGTCTAGCCAGACTTGCAAGGTCGAATTCGAGTCATGGTAGCCAGTCAGGGTGCGATGTAACAATGATGAAAAATACAACTTTCCTCTAGTTCCTAAATGTTTCCTCCCCACCTCCACTACCATGACACTACCATCAAAATAAAATTTTAGAACATTCCAAATGGCCCATTGAGAAGTAAGCACATAGCCATCCACAAGACAGTCTATATAACTGAATATATTGGAAACATAGCCCAGTATTTTGTACTTTCTCTATTGGGACGATGTCTGCCTTACTTCACAGCATGTTCAGAAGACTATACCATGGCATCTGGAACATTTACTTCTCCAAACTACCCCAATAATTACCCTGACAACCGGGAGTGCATTTACAGGATCACCGTGGGAACCAGCCAGCAGATCGCACTGCACTTTACGAACTTCTCTTTGGAGGAAGCCTTTGGTCACTGTGCAGATTTTGTAGAAATCAGGTAAATTACTTTTGTACACTTCATCGTACTGGGTTTCAATGGCACCCGGAAACAGTACTGATAAGCATAGGTATCCTCTAGAACGCACCCTGCTGTGTAACTTTCCTGCAAGAGATAAACCCAGTGATTGTTTGAAGTTGTTCGTTGACTCTTCATAGGAAGAGCTGAAAGCAAGCTGCAGGTTTTGTTTAGACAGATAAACAGAGGAGCCACTACTCCCGAATTAGATGTTGAACATATGCATTATGTCACATCAATGTCAATTTTAGGTGGCTCTCTATGTAGTCTAATTGTATCACTGATGCCAAGATGGCAATAGTACTTCAAAGTGTTCCCAAAGGTTTGTTTGTTTGTTTGTTTGTTTGTTTGTTTATGGAAGGGTGCTCAGATATTAAAAGGCTTAGCTTGTGAATTTCAATGTAAGTTTTTTTTCCCCATTTTGGAAAGGGTACGTAAAAAGATATGGTTGAAGGAAAAGTAAGTTGATTTATATGTAGTAGTTCCATAGATCATGATATCCAGTTAAATGTGAGTAATTATTTTGGCAAGTACTGGTGTACGTTTTTTCATATGACACTTCAAAAATAGAGATTTTATAAAAATTGTGGTCAAAGTGTACAACCAAAACATTTGCCATTGTACAAGAACCCCAAATATGGAATTTTATAATGTTTGACTTTTTAAGTTATAGCATATCATGATGAATTAATGTAGTCTTGTTAATTAAAAATTTATCACTGTACTTTAATGGTAAATGACTTTTTTCCCTTTCATTTGAAAAGCTACAGATTATAAACTAGATTTAAGACTTCAAAAGTTCTTGAGAAAAGAAATGATAAACTTTTCCTAAATAAGACTAGTGTGAGGTATTTCATTTTCAAAAAGTTCAAGTTAGAAAATAGTTATGGTTCTCTTCATAATTGAGCAACATTCGTTAGTGCTATTAAATTCTCTTTGACAGATCTGCTAGACGTTTTTAGTTAAGAGGGTGAAGATTGAACACATATTCTTTTTTTTTCAAAGTATTTAAATCATTTTATTGGGGGCTTGTACAACTCTTATTACAATCCATACATACATCCTTTGTGAACACATATTCTTAATTTTTGTTTGGTTTTTCAATTGATCTGTTAACCTTTAAAGGTAGTTATTCCTTATTAAGCTTTTCAAATACTAATTAGTAAAGTCAAAAACTTCAAATTGTGTTTTCTAGTGTATTTTTGGAGAATATTTAATTGGCATAACTTGATCTGGTTTTCATCCTAAAGCTAAAATTATGTTAACTGCTTATACAGTATACTATCAATAACTTTCTAAATTACCGTCTATGTTTTGCCTCAGAGATGGCGGCTATGAAACCTCACCATCCCTTGGAATATACTGTGGCTCAAAGCTGCCTCCAAGAATCATCTCTCACAGTAACAAACTATGGATAAAATTTAAGAGTGACCTCGTTGGCTCAAGGTCTGGATTCTCAGCTAACTGGGATGGATCAGCAACAGGTAATTAGCTAAGAGCGGTATATTTTCTGGAGACTCTGATCTGATGTGGGTTCTTTTCTTTTTATGTGTAAGAAAGACCTTTATTCAAGAGGTCATTATTTATCAAGAAAACATCCCAGCCCAGTCCAACTCAAGGCCATATGCCACATACTAAGTCCATAGTCCTTAAGTCCTTCTGCAGCCTGACAGCCACATGCAATGAGGCAGAATCGTCACCTGCTGGTGGGTGGAAAGTCCTGTGAATCCGACAGCAGGGGCTCTGGCAGCTCTCTGAGTGACTCAACAACAGGAAGGTGAAGGCGGAGAGGGGGAGGGTCCCAGGACCCTCCTTAGGAGAAGGTCACGCCCACAAGGAGGCACCGTCAGGCTGTGTGACCTGATTGACAGGCTAGATTCCACCCTCACACTTTTTTTTTAATTAAAAGATCATTTTATTGGGAGCTCTCATAACTCTTATAACAAGCCATACATCTATTGTATCAGCTTATTTGTACATATGTTGCCATCATTATTTTCTAAACATTTACCTTCTATGTGAGCCCTTGGTATCAGCTCCTCTTTTCTCCCTCCCTCCCCACCCCACCCTCGTGACCCCTTGATAAATTATAAATTGTTATTATTTTCATATCGTACACTGACTGCTGGTTTCTAGATTCTTGGGTTGTCTCTGTCCATCACTGGCCCATTATTTTTCCTGTTGCTTTTGCCCTCACTGTTTGCGCTAAGCTTCCACCCCTAAGTATTTCTGAACAGGTAAGTAAATTCTTCTCCTTCCCTGAGGTGTTTCATCAACGGGTCATCTTGTTTCGAAAAAGGAAAGGGCAGTGATGGGATTGGGAAACCGAACCTCTCTCCTGTGATGCAATTCTCTTTTGCAACCTGGTCGAAAATAGAGTCCCAGTACCACCAAGAAGATCACATTTACTACGAAGGAACATCTCTGTGTCTCTGTGTCTCTTCCCCCTACAGGCTGTGGTGGCAACCTCACAACCCCCAGCGGCAGCTTCCTGTCTCCCAACTACCCGATGCCGTACTACCATAGCTCTGAGTGCTACTGGTGGCTGAAATCCAGCCACGGAAGCCTCTTTGAAGTGGAATTCGAAGACTTCCACCTGGAGTACCATCCTAACTGCACTTTAGATTATCTGGCTGTATGTACAATGTTTCCATTCTGTGATTGGCTGCTGCCATCTCACCCAATGCACGTACTGTGCTTCTTTTTATTTTTGAGATTGAGGGAAGGGGGGGGCATTTAAACAGACCACACACACACACACACACACACACACACACACAAATTAAGCAAAATAAACAAACACAAGAAATTGATGGGACTAACAATCTTACGGGGCAGCATGTGCTGCTTGGTACACTAAGTATGTTGCATATGGAAAATGTGGCCATGATTAAAAGATCCTCAAAGGGGTTTTAGATTTAATAACATTATTCTCAGTGTAATTTCTGTACAAAGTTTGAGAAAGAACTACAGACAACTCCTAAATTACCAATAATCTGACCCATCGAGTCCACTCCTAAACAAAATTCATTGTACTTGTGTTAATTGTGACTCATAGCAACCGTATCCACAGAGTAGCCCTTCTCTTCTGGGTTTCCAAGCAGAAAACCTCATTTGTCTCCCATGATGCCCCTGAGGAGTTCGAACCACTGACCTTGCAGTTAGCAGCTCAATACATAACCCAATTTGCCACCAGGGACTGGGGACAGCTCCGATTTGCCTTTAAGTTTTGTGAATGCCCCTCCCTTTGAACCGATTGGTTGGCTTTTTGAATTAATTGGACCAACCTGTGCTCACAAATGAATCATCACAATTGCTTTCAACAGGCATTGATAGGGTGTTTTGGTGGTGGTTTGTTTTGAATTTATGGATTACAGGTAATTTTCTAACATTTAAACTATTTTTATTAAAGGTATATGATGGCCCAAGTACCAGCTCTCATCTGCTAACTCAGCTTTGTGGGAATGAAAATCCACCTCCCATCCGTTCTAGTGGGGACAGCATGTTTTTTAAACTTCGGACAGATGAAGGTCAGCAAGGAGGTGGCTTCCTGGCCAGCTATCGACAGAGTGAGTACTGCCTGCTGGGCGTCTCTAATGGTCTCAAATTCTTTATGAAACAAACTGAAATAAGCACAACTCATTACTTAAGCCATAGAAATTAATCTTTGCTTTTTATCATGTGAAGAATTTAACTTCATTTGAGAGAGAAATGCTTACACACTTAATTTCATTGCATGAAATTAAAGGTTTGTAACGTCTAAAAACATAGAAGACTATTTAATATGTTGAGATGGTTGCCATTCAGCTGAAGGGTAATTCAACAGGCTAACGACTGATAGGTTTTCCTTTGTGCCAACCTTGGCAGCTTCTAATTAGACGTTTTCCCACTACACATCACATTCTCCCCCTGACTGTTTTTGGCCCTTAAAAAGTGCCCTAAGAGAAATTGTGGTATTTTGAAATGGAGAATGGCAGAGGAGAGAGACACAATCGTAAAATCTGCTTCCTCATGAGGCCTCCCTACTGCCAATGGGTCAATTCCACCGGCCATCAAGTCGATTCTGGCTCAGAGGAACCCTGTAGGGCAGAGTGGAACTGTCCCTCTGGGTTTCTGAGGCTGTAAATGATTTGGGGAGGAGACAGCCTCCTCTTCCTCCCGCAGAGAGACTGGTGGTTTTGAACTGCTGACCTGGCGGTTAACAACCCAATTTGTAACCCGCTGTTCCACATGGACCGCTGCTCTGACTCATAGTGACTCCTACTAGGGTCTATAAATTGCTGCAGAAGCAGACAGCATCATCTGTTTCACAAGGAGCGAGCGACTAGTGAGTTTGAACTTGAAGTTAGTCACCCAAGACCAAACCCAGAGCACCAGCAGGGTTCCTTCCGCAGTAGGCAGCACGGTAGAATCAAAGGGCATTTATCAAAAAACCAAGCTGTCTGGGGTTTGTTCTGACTCCTAGCTTGCGATCACTTTTATCCTCTGGACTTCAATCATTATATGTCTAAAAGGAAGAGATTATATGCGGTTATATCTGTAGTTAGCCTTTTGAACTAGAATCAAATACTTTTTAAAGTTTGTTTTAAGATAGAAATTCAAGAAAACAAGTCTTCCTTGAGTTCCTGTTATAGCATATAACTTGGATTTTTGAAAGTCAAGTTCCGTGTACCATTACATTTAGATGTACCCATAATTTTGATTCTGTTCTCTAACAATGGAGTTGAAAGGCACAAGAGTCTATTTTGAATATACAGTGTCACTTTGGTTTAATGAAGGGGGTAGCAGGCGCTGCTTCTTGGACTGCCTGTGAATTGTAAGATCCTCTTCATTTACATGTTGGGTTTTGACTGAAGTCTAGCTCTAGATCTAAATCTAGATCATTTAGAATACTTCATTTTAGTAATACCTACCTATATTCCTCTGTCAATGAGTGTCTGAACCCCCACCCCCCCCAAAGTTCTATTAGCAGTTCATCTTGTTGACTGAGTTTTGAATGTTCAGTTATTCTTGTTGACTGAGTTTTGAATGTTTTTCTAACTTTATTATTGTGGTGCTAATTTGTTTCTGGGTTTTAATCAAATTGCTTATTTAACTTTCTTTTTCTTTGTAGTTAACTGATTTTTCCCCCCCTCACACACAATTTCAGAACACCGAAGGAGTAAGTTAGCACATACAGGTCTTTCATTGTAACATCACTGCTTACCAGAAAGGTTGTCTCTAAAGGTTATTGGAAAGTGGTGCTTTGCCGATAGCATTATCTCTGTGCACAGAGAGCAGCCCATGTGTACTACGGAAAATTGATATTCATCCGCCTTGCTCTTTTGGCTCTCGACATTAAGAGACATTGATACCTACTTGCCTGAGAGCTATAACTTTTCACATCTAAAACAACAAAACTGTCCTTCAGAAATCCTTTGTGGGCAAAACACATGACCTAAAGAGTTTCTAGACCATCGCTCCTGTTCCAAGAGAGAGAGATTTTGAAGAACCACAAAGTCTGCCTTTCCAAAGTCTACTCATGCACGTCAGTCACCAGTCACCTGTCAGAAAGTCGTGTGATGGTAGAAATGCATCTGTGAATCATGTGGTGCAGAGACCGCTTTCTTGCCAGGAGAGGACTTTTCCATTTCACAATCACCCAGGGAAGACAGAGAGCAGAGGACAGGCCGGTGCTGGCACCAAGACCTTCAGATGGCCTGCCTTTACCCTTTCCTCCGTGGATTTAGTTTTGAGAGATGTCGTTTTGTAAAAACCTCACTGTAAAGAAAATTTAAGATCCCCACACCCCCCCGCATTTCTTCTTTATGTCTTTTAGGAACCCTGGTGGCATAGTGGGACTGCTAAATACAGTCAAAACCACTCAGCTGCTCCTTGGGAGAAAGATGAGGCTTTCTGTCCCTGTCAAGATTTACAGCCTGAAAACTCACAGGGGGCACTTCTGTCGCCGCTCCCCAGGGTTGCTAGTGTCCGAATCCACTCCGTGGCAGCGAGTTTGATTATTTTTCTATTCTCTGGGTCCCTCCTGATGACTAGGGAGAGGAATAAGGGAGGCTTTATTGTGAATTTCATGCTGACTTTTGAATGCTTAACAAAGCCATGGTGTTACTCATTTTTAGCATTCACCCAGTACTTTGTGTTTTTATTTAAACGACTGACTCTTTAAAGGTCAGGATTGCTTGTCCCTTCCAAATGCTAAACTTAGAGAAAAAAAAGACAGACTGTTTAATACACGTCTTTAAACGAACACATTCATCTGTGGCTGGTGCTACATTATCCTGCTCCGCACCAATCCAGAGGAATTGATGGCTATGTTAGTACGGCCATTCAACTTTGTCACTGCGGTTGATGAACTCACTGAAGGGGTTTGCCTATGTTTTCCTGAACGGATACACTTTATCATGCTACTGTACGGCATCCACAGGGAAAGCTGTCCGAGCCAGAATTCAATGGTTCTGCCTTGTGTTTCCATGGCTTGTAAGCATTCCCCCTGTGACAGGGAGCAGTCTTACACTTTTCTTATCCCTTGTGTTAGTAGGAAAATTTAGGTTTCCTCCCTCTAAGAAGTTTCTGCATTATAGGTTTTCCTGTATGTGAATGTGGATACCAGGGAATTCAAAGCCAGACCTCACCACCCTTGTTGAGTCAGTCCTGATTCATAGCGCCCCTGTAAGTCAGAATAAAAATGCCTCTGGGGGTTGCCAAGACTGTAACTCTTTATGGGAGTAGAACGCCCTGGCTTTTTCCTGCCTAGTGACTAGTGGTTTCAAATTGCTGATCTTGATATAACACAATATTCCTACATCTGTAGACATATGTATTATGTATATTTATGTGTATAACACATAAGAATATTGTGATTCATAACAATTACAGTTTTTGTTTGTTTGTTTTTTCAGTATGTGAGAATGTGGTGATTGCCAATAGAACTTCTGGCATCTTGGAAAGTATACATTACCCAAATCCTTATTACGCCAACCAACGTTGTAACTGGACCATTCAAGCAACACGTGGCAACACCGTGAACTACACCTTCTTAGCATTTGAAGTAGAACGTCACACAAATTGCTCTGCAGACTACTTAGAGGTATGTATCCTGATGCTAAACACATCGCTGTTTTCCGATGAAGGGAGATGATGCAAGACAGAAACCATCATGCTTTCTATCCTTGAAGCTCAGACCGGGGCCCATACATCTGTGTGCTACCAGCTTACCCACAGAATTGAACATTTTATGCCTCTTTGACTAGTTCATCTTAATATTAAGGGTACTTGATCTACAAAGAATGTTCTAAGTTTTAGATCATTTTCTTGGGGGCTCTCACAGCTCTTACAACAATCCATACATCAGTTGGATCAAGCATATTTTCACATGTGTTGCCATCCTTATTTCCTAGACATTCACTTTCTGTTGAGTCCTTGGTATCAGCTCCTCTTCCTCCCATGACCCCTTGATAAATTATAAATTATTACTATTTTCATATCTTACACGCACCACTGTCTCACTTCCCCCACGGTTTCTGTTGTTTGGCCTCAGGGGTGTGGTTATATGTCGATCATTGTAGTCTGTTCCTCCTCCCTCCCCTTGCCACCTTTCCCTTACCTTCCTGGTATCATTACTACCATTCCTGTTCCTGGAATCCTTGTGTCGTGTGTTCCTGTCTCTTATCTGTACCTGTGTACATGTTCCAGTCTAGTCTGCAGTGAAAGGCAGGCCTGGGGTCATGATAGTGGGGGGGTGAGGAAACCTCAAGGAACCCAGAGGAATATTGTGTGTTTAACTGATGCAATACTGTGCCCTGGTTGACTCATCCCTTCCTAGTGACCCTTCTGTGAAATGATCTAAGTTTTAGGAATACATATGCACATGGCACAAAGGATATCTCATTACTGATGTTCCTTATCCAATAGGCTTTGAAAATGGAGAATACCCAAAAGGCGCATATATGTATTTTACTGACTATGCTAAGACATTCTACTTAGATCGGTTATCCACAAATTATAGATAACCTCTTCACGAATGAGAATGGCAGAGCACTTACTTGTGCTCTGAGGAATCTGTATACAGGCCAAGAGGCAGTTGTTCAAACAGAAGAAGGTGATCCTGTGGGATAGAAAATCAGGAAAGGTCTGGGCATCAGGATACAAATCCGTTCACCATACTGAATCTGTATGTGCATCGGGATACAAATCCTTTTACCATACTGAATCAATCTATATGTGCATCAACATACAAATCCTTTCACCCATACTAAATCAATCTATATGTGCATGGGGATATAAATCCTTTCACCATACTGAATCAATCTATATGTGCATCGGGATGCAAATCCTTTCACCATACTGATTCAATCCATATGTGCATCGGGATGCAAATCCTTTCACCATACTGATTCAATCTCTATGTGCATCGGGATGCAAATCCTTTCACCATACTGATTCAATCTCTATGTGCATCAGGA